AAAGCTCTACTGATGGAAGGAATATGATGGGGACAGGTAGATCCTTCTCAGTCACTGTCTATGACATTTTAATATCCTCTGAAATCAGAAGTTATTCAAGGAATAAACCAGTCATAGATCCTCAGAAGAACCACAACAAATTCCTTGTACAAGTCTAAGCACAGCCTCCTTACACACCTAGTGGAAAGGGATACCAGTTTGTGCAAGACTTAAGAGCCATTCATGGAGTTATTCTTAGGTTTCCAGAAGTGTGTAATGTTCTTCTCTTACCAGTTCCACTTACAAGAAAATAGTTCACAGTACTGGCCTTACTCGCCTTCATTAACATTTCTGTAAATAGAGACAGTTGATAGGTATTCCTTTATTTGGAATGACTAGCAATATTTTGGTCAGTAATGCCTCGGGGATTTACACCTACCCCTTTATATTCCTTCCAGCCTTTAAGTAATAATTTAAAAAAGGTAACACTCCTAAAAGGTTAAGATTTCATTCAGTATAGAAGACCTTACCTCATATTTACCTCTCCTGGAAAACAAGGATTCCATTTACCTCTTGGAAGAGTAAGTGGCTAAATATGGTAAAGCCTGAAGGAAAAGTTACAATTTTGCCAAGAGGTGGTACATTAGTTAGGAGGTGACTTCTCCACCAAAGAGAATACTCTACCCCAAAATTGGATTACATGGATCCAGCAATATCTAAACCCAACAACTAGATGGGAATTGATAGGATTTGCAGAACTTAAGAGGTATTATAGGCAATGGGTTCCCAACTTTTCCAGGCTAACTCAACTCCTTCAAGAACTTACCAAAAACAGGTAACCAGAATTTACTTGAGAAGCTGCAACTGGCTTTGTCACTTTGAAATCTAAATTACAGGTGACCTCAATCCCAGGTCTACAAGAAAACAAAAATAAATGAATAAATAATCATAACCTTATGTCCTTTCAGTACATTTCCTTGTGCTGAGGCAAAAAAAAAGGGGGGGTGTCAGGAGGGTACCAGTGATAGAGGCTTTGGCTCAACAGCATGGGAAACACCACCTCCTATTTAGGTATTTCTCTAGATTCAATGGCTAATGTCTTCCTCCCTATTATGTGACATGACTGTGTTGCAAAACTGGTAGATGCTCCTGTGGATGTCACCTTTGTCACACCACTAATTCCACAGCATGTGGATGCTGTTCAATCCTGACTACTAGCTAGCAACATCCAGCATTGCTCAGTAGGCAGATTAACTATGACCGCTATTGCTGGTCTCTTGTATGACCGTTTGTCACTGACACAATCTCAAACCTGCAGTGTTGCTTCCACCACTTGATAAAGTAGAGCTTTGTGCCTCTATAACAGCAACTATAAAACTGAGTGTCCAAGAGGAAGGTCAAGTTGATGTTTCCCTAGGGAATGTGGAACAAATGTTCTTTTTTAAAAGATCAACGTCGATACCATGGAGGATAGGCAGAGACTATGTAAAACTGGGTAAGAGGATAACCTTCCACCCAAAGCTGGGTCAGCCCAAGTTTTGGAATTAATAGTCTTGACCAGAGCAGGTGTCCAAAGAGTACAAGTTAAGGCATATAGTGAGAGCAGTGGTAAAGAAGGTGAAGGGAGTGCACCAGTAGATCATTAAACAAAATATGTGGCACTATTGTCCTTGCTGATAGGACTTATTTCTGATGAGACAAATATAAGAAAATAAATATATTTATACATAAAATCTGTTTCAGACGTAGGATATTCAGCCTCAGGTTCAGAAAAAAAAAGATAATTTCTAATAATTGTTTCTATTTACTTGGTGTTAGTCATGATCTCTCCCCTTTCATTCATAATTTTATTAATTTGGGTCCTTTCTCTTTTCTATTGGATAAGTCTTGCCAGTGGTTTATTGATCTTATTAATTCTTTCAAAGAACCAACTTTTAGTTTTGTTGATCTGATCTACTGTGTTTCTGGTTTCTAATTCATTGATCTCTGCTCTAATTTTAATTATTTCTCTTCTAATGCGTGACTTAGGCATCGTTTGCTACTTTTTCTCTAGTTCTTTAAGGTGTAGAGTTAGTTGGTGAATTTGGGATTTTTCTATTTTTTTGAGTGAGGCTTGGATGGCTATGTATTTCCCACTTAGGACCGGCTTTGCAGTATCCCATAGGTTTTGGACCGATGTGTTTTCATTCTCATTGATTTCCATGAATTGTTTAAGTTCTTCTTTGATTTCCTGGTTGACCCAAACATTCTTGAGCAAAGTGGTCTTTAGCTTCCAAGTGTTTGAATTTCTGCCAAATTTTTTCTTGTGATTGAGTTCCAGTTTTAAAGCATTGTGGTCTGAGAATATGCAGGGAATAATCTCAATCTTTTGGTATCGGTTGAGACCTGATTTGTGACCCAGTATGTGGTCTATTCTGGAGAAAGTTCCATGTGCGCTTGAGAAGAATGAGTATTCTGTGGTTTTAGGGTGGAATGTTCTGTATATATCTATGAGGTCCATCTGGTCCAGTGTATCATTCAAAGCTCTTGTATCCTTATTGATTTTCTGCTTAGAAATGAAAAGACACTTCTCTGAAGAAGACATACAAATGGCTAACAGACACATGAAAAAATGTTCATCATCATTAGCCATCAAGGAAATTCAAATCAAAACCACATTGAGATACCACCTTACACCAATTAGAATGGCAAAAATGGACAGGGAAAGAAACAACAAATGTTGGAGAGGTTGTGGAGAAAGGGGAACCCTCTTACACTGTTGGTGGGAATGCAAGTTGGTATAGCCACTTTGGAAAACAGTGCGGAGGTTCCTCAAAAATTTAAAAATAGAGCTACCCTATGACCCAGCAATTGCACTCCTGGATATTTACCCCAAAGGCACAGATGTAGTGAAAAGAAGGGCCATATGCACCCCAGTGTTCATAGCAGCAATGTCCGCAATAGCCAAACTGTGGCAAGGGCTGAGATGCCCTTCACCAGATGAATGGATAAAGAAGATGTGGTCCATATATACAGTGGAATATTACTCAGCCATCAGAAAGGATGACTACCCAGCTTTTACATCAACATGGATGGGACTGGAGGAGATTATGCTAAGTGAAATAAGTCAAGCAGAGAAAGTCAATTGTCATATGGTTTCACTTATTTGTGGAACATAAGGAATAGCATGGAGGACATTAGGAGAAGGAAGGGAAAAATGAAGGGAATCGGAGGGAGAGATGAACCATGAGAGACTATGGACTCTGAGAAACAAACAGGGTTTTAGAGGGGAGGGGAGGGGGGATTAGTTAGCCCGGTGATGGGTATTAAGGAGGGCACGTACCGCATGGAGCACTGGGTGTTATACGAAAACAATGGATCGTGGACCACCACATCAAAAACTAATGATGTATTGTATGGCGACTAACATAACATAATAAAATTTAAAAAAAGAAACATTTGCTAAAATCAAGTTGTTCTGTCAATTTCAATGGGTCCTAAGGCAGCTAAGATGGCCCTTTGGTTGCCCCCAAAAATGAGGTAAAATTTGACCAAAATGTAATAACACTGTTTCCAGCATGAATAAGCATTTATGGGGGAATTTCTCCTTGGTAACTAGAGATGTGGAGGGCTTATGCCTAATCTGCACCATCATACCCCAGAAAAAAAAAAAAAAACCACAACTGTGAAAGTGGGATACATATGGGTCTGAGCCATGTCCCAGAGAAGTTTCAAACACATAAAGATGGGCTTCATCCAATTACCCAAGTCACAAGGTTATGAATATGTGCTCAGGATCACTTATAAATTCTCTGGATGGTGAAGACTTCTCAAACAGAAAAGCCACTGCAAGAACTGCCATATCTACACATATTGTTAGACAATGTTTTTTCCCACCTGGGGGATACGATCCCTACTCCCTAGTGTGAAAGGTACTGGGACAGTCATGAAGGAACTTGGTAAGGTGTTCTCGTTTAATCAAAATCTTATTGCCCCTACTCACCACAGTTTCCAGGAAAAGTAGAGGTACCAATGAACTCTCAAAAACTTTAAATTGGGGCGGCAGGAGCAGGAAGGGTACAGTGGTACATCTTTGTGGCAGTCTGGCTTTTTTTTTATTTCAGCTGAGATGGTTTAAAAGCTGAGGGGATATGGAAAAGAACTGCCACTTCTAGCCCTCTTTCTCCTGAGTTCGTGACTCTGAGGTCCAAGATGGGCAGTCTGCTCTGTTTGGGGGAGGATCCCAGGGCACTGGCAGGGAAGTGGCCCAGTGAATGGCCCAGAAAGGCTACTGATTGGCCATCATCCCCAGAAGTCTGGAAGTGGCCAAAGCCACTGGCGCTGGTGACCTTGGTGGAGATCATTTGGCATTTAGCTATGATGCTGCTAAAGAACATAAGGCTCAAAATACATTTGAAAACATGGAGAAAAATTTAGGTGGAGTTTATCTCTTGGTAAATGCAGCTGGAATTAACAGGGATAGCCTTTTAGTAAGAACAAAAGCTGAAGGTATGATATCTCAGCACATACTGATCTCTTGGGTTCCATGCTGACTTGGAAAGCTGCCAAGAAGACTATGATTCAACATCAAAGAGGGTCTATTGTTACTGTAGGCAATTCTGGCCAGTCTGTGTACAGCTCCAGTAAAGGAAGATCTTGCACATACTCCTGCTAAAGGAGTAACAAGAAAGAAAATTACAGTGAATGTAATTGCACCAGGATTTGTTCACACAGATAGGATGAAAGACTTGAACATTTAAAGAAAAACACCTCTCTTGGGAGGTTTAGAGAACCTATTAATGTGCACATGACATTAATAGGTTTCAGGATCACCATATATGGCATTTGGGTTGTGCACCATATATGGTCATGCCTGGTTGATTTCAGGGTCATGAGTTAGAATCACCATATGTTACAGGGCATGTTCTGGTAGTGGAAGGGGGATTACAACTCATGATATAATTTATAGAGTATTAAGTTATAATAATGATTAGAATCAAGGGCACATTTTGTTTGACTCTTAATTTGACAGTCATAGCTACATGGGTGACATTTGCTACAAATGTTCATTTCCGTTTTTATATGAATACGTCTGAAAAGAACAACGTGTGACCAATTGTGTTTTCTAAAAGGTATGTACCAATTGAACTTAATAATAAAAAAATAAAATAAATAAAAGGTATGTACCTTGGGCGCCTGGGTGGCTCAGTCGTTAGGCATCTGCCTTCAGCTCAGGTCATGATCCCAGGGTCCTGGGATCGAGTCCCATATCGGGTTCCCTGCTCGGCAGGAAGCCTGCTTCTCCCTCTCCCACTCCCCCTGCTTATGTTCCTGCTCTCGCTGTGTCTCTCTCTGTCAAATAAATAAATAAAATCTTTTTTAAAGAGGGGGGTATGTACCTTATAGTCTGTAGCAATTTTAATAGACAGACATTTTGCAAATGATATAAACAGGTATTATCTTAATTTATATATTTTCTCTCAAAATTATATAGTCTGCTTGTTTTGAGTTATTTCATTGTATCAGACTAAATTATCTAGAAGTTAGCCCTGTGGACCATTGCCAAAATATAAGTATTTACAAAGCACTGGCTGGTTATCAACACTTTAGCAATCCTGCTAAAGTTAAGTATTGTATTCCTTTTCCATATACCTTGGAAGATCAATTGTTATGCAGGTTTAAAAAAAAAGTATCAGTATCAGGTACAGACATGAATTTAGAGTCTGGTTTCTTTGAGTGGCATTACTTCTGACTGAGCAGCTGGGCAAAATAATCTACAAATATAAGTGTGGTACAATTGACCCCTATAAAAAATTCTCAGATGATGAGGATTAACCCTTGAGGTTTTACCATCTGGTACAATAATAAGGTACATAGATCTCATCAACTTAGGAAATAGAAGTTTGTTTTTTTTAGACCACTAAACACTCAGTAGGGCAAACTACTTAAAAACAGTCTAAGAAGAATGCCTGGGTGGAACAGTCAGTTGAGCATCCAGCTGTTGGTTTTGGCTTGGGTGGTGATCTCAGGGTCATGGAATTGAGTCCCTCATGAGTCCCACACCCAGCGGGGTGTCTGCTTCTCCTCTCCCTCTCCCTCTACCCCCTCCCCACTCACACACTCTCTCTCGAATAAATACATAAATCTTAAAAAAAATCACTATAAGACATAATGACATTTTTAAAGTTAAGAATTTTGCATTAATAAATATAATAATGATTCCTAACCTAAAATTTCAGAAGGAACATAGCTAATTACTTACAATCAGTCATAAATGATAATGTACATAAATATGCAATAACAATAATTAAATATCTTTACAAGGAACAGGTAAAGCATTGGTCTTAAAAGAAAATATTTCCTGAGAATAAAAGATAAAGACAAACTGAGTATAAAATATCAGCAACATCTATTTTGCATTGAACTCTTTGATGGTGAATAGTGTGATATTTAAACATTGGATTCATGTTGATTTTTATTATTTGTCATTTTTAAAATGCTTTTTCAAAATTTTATTTAAATTCTAGTTAACATATAGTACAATATTGGTTTCAGGAGTAGAATTTAGTGATTCATCACTTACATACAATACCCAGTGCTCATCACAACAAGTGCCCTCCTTAATACCCAACACCTGTCAAGCCTATCCCCTGATCACCTCCCCACCATCAATCCTCAGTTTGTTCTCTATTAAGAGTTTCTTATGGTTTGCTTCTGTCTCTCTCCTCTTTTTTTTTTGCTATTCCCTATGTTCATCTGTTTTGTTTCTTAAATTCTACATATGAATGAAATCATATGGTATTTGTCTTTCTCTGACTTAATTTGCTTAGCATAATACATTCTAGCTCCATCCACATCATTGCAAATGGCAAAATTTCATTCTTTTTGATGGCTGAGTAATATTCCTGTGTGTGTGTGTGTGTGTGTGTGTGTCTACCATATCTTCTTTATCCATTCATCAGTTGATAGACATTTGGGCTCTTTCCACAATTTGGCTATTGTTGATAATGCTGCTATAAACATCAGGGTGCATGTGCCCCTTCAAATCAATATTTTTGTATCCTTTGGGTAAATATCTAGTAGTGCAATGGTTGGGTTGTAGGGTAGCTCTATTTTCAACTTTTTGAGGAACCTCCATACTGTTTTCCAGAGTGGCTGTGCCAGTTTGCATTCCCACCAGCAGTGTAAGAAGGTTCTCCATTCTCCACATCCTCGCCAACATCTGATGTTTCCTGTGTTGATAGTTTTAGCCATTCTGACCAGTGTGAGGTGGTATCTCATCATGGTTTTGATTTATATATCCCTGATAATGAGTGATGTTGAGCATTTTTTCATGTGTGTATTGGCCATCTGGATGTCTTCTGTGGAAAAAAGTTTATTCATGTCTTCTGCCCATTTCTTAACTGGATTATTTGTTTTTTGGGTGTTGAGTTTGGTAAGTTCTTTATAGATTTGGATATGAGCCCTTTATCAGATATGTCATTTGCAAATATCTTCTCCCATTCTGTCAGTTGTCTTTGGTTTTGTTGACTGTATCTTTCACTGTGCAGAAGCTTTTTATCCTGATGAAATCTCAGTAGTTCATTTTTGCTTTTGTTTCCCTTGCCTCCAAAGGCTTGTCTAGTAAGAAGTTGCTACCGCCAAGGTCAAAGAGGTTGTACCCGTCTTCTCCTCTAGGAATTTGATGGTTTAAATGTTTTAAATATTTACTGCATTTTTATATATTTATTGGAGCTGAACATTATTTTAAAATATTTTATTTAGGTTCAGGTCGAAAATGGCGGCAGCAGTGTATCTGCGTCCTGGCCGCCTGGGCTGCTAGGTCGGTCCAGGGCACAGCTGGGGCGTTCCATGTCGAGTGGCGCCCACGGCGAGGAGGGCTCAGCTCGCATGTGGAAGGCGCTCACCTACTTCGTAGCACTCCCTGGCATGGGTGTGAGCATGCTGAATGTCTTCCTGAAGTCGCGTCACGGAGGGCATGAGAGACCCGAGCTCGTCGCCTACCCCCATCTCCACATCAGGTCCAAGCCCTTTCCCTGGGGAGATGGTAATCATACTCTATTCCATAACTCTCTCGTGAATCCACTTCCAACCGGCTATGAAGATGAATAAAGAGAACCTGGACCACCACCCAGTGGGGACCACAGCACTGGTTTGGACCATGACTCCGCACTCGGACCGGAAAAGTCTATGGGACCTTAAGCTCACCTTCCTTACTTGTATCAAATGATGACCAGTATACTGATCTTCCATCCCTTTGCTTATGGGCAGGAGACATCTTAAATAAATAACTTAGATTGGTCCATGAAAAAAAATTAATTAATTAAAAAAATAAAAAATATATATTTTATTTATTTATTTGACAGAGAGAGACACAGCTAGAGAGGGAACACAAGCAGGGGGAGTGGGGGGAGGGGAGAAGCAGGCTTCCCGCTGAGCAGGGAGCCTGATGCGGGGCTCGATCCCAGGACCCTGGGATCATGACCTGAGCCAAAGGCAGACGCTTGATGACTGAGCCACCCAGGCGCCCCTGAACATTATTTTATATAAACATTTAATTTTATAATGCAAGTCAATGTAAAAGTATGAATAGGATATACTAAATCAATATAATATAATAAAAGTAATAAAACTAAAAAGTAATGTCAAGTCTAAGCTCTAAATTAAGAAAAAAAACTTAAGTTGGTCATGTGCTCTGAAACTCTTGGACATCCCTGGCTAAGAATTTTACCCCTAATGGCCATCAGGTCAGTCCATTCTGGAACTCATAGACCTATAAACTTAGGAGAATAACTAGAAGACCATGCACCTGCAAGTCTTAGCACCCATCACTGATTTGACTTTGCATCATACAGAGCTAGCTAAGTGTTGTCAAAAGGAAATTCAAGGGCGCCTGGGTGGCTCAGATGGTTAAGCGTCTGCCTTCGGCTCAGGTCATGATCCCAGGGTCCTGGGATCGAGTCCCGCATCGGGCTCCCTGCTCCTTGGGAGACTGCTTCTCCCTCTGCTTCTCTCTCTCTCTCTCCTCCTCTGTCTCTCATGAATAAATAAATAAAATCTTTAAAAAAAAAAAGGAAATTCAATATTACTCTTATCTTCCAGGGGTGCAAGCTGGATTTTAAAAACTTTCACCTTTAGAACCTCTTCACTCCTTCAACCCAGATACTAAGTATTCTGGAAATGACACCAATTGGAAATCTTCTGTGGTGCAATGCTGGAAACGATCCTATGAAGGCATTTTAACAGATACTGTCATGAAACTACAAAGAGTTTATTCTTGGATCCATGTATCCATCTCCTATGCAAAAGAAGGCCATAGAAATTGATTTGATAGTAGAGGACAACTGGGAATATATATAATTAGCTATCTCAAAATGAGCCTTATAAATACATCCAGATGAAGTAAACTACCTGATGACTGACAGCAGCTACCCAAGTAATTTGAACAAAGCTGATGAGTACTTGAAGTAGACAGCTTCTATCCAAGATTACCAGAACAAGGTCCATTGCCTAAATAATTTTCTTTATTCCCCTCCTTCTTTCTTTTAAAATTTTTTTTCTTTTTGCTTTCTACTTTTGTCTCTAATTCTTATAGATACTGACTCCTTTTTGTTGACTTAACCTTCCTGATACTTAATATACTATGAATTATTTTACATTTTTTAATCTCATTAAGGCATGTACCCATGGAGGTTTTATGCTCAGCATGGCCTTTTTTCCCTTTCTAAGGGTGTAAATCCTACAGGAAATCTGAAAAATTGCTGGATTTTTCATCTATCACCAACCTCTGGTGTATCCCATATAATTAGATATCAAGCATTTCATATTTCTGCTCAAGATGTCCAACCTTATGATGCTAACTTGTCTTATTCAATCATGTGGATTAAACACGTGTCTTCATTTGTAGGCACTGATACCAGTTGCTATAGTTATACTTATCCTGAATATTTGACTCATTCTGGACCTGAAATCTTTTCCAAATGTTGAATAAAAACTGAGTAGGTTTTCTCTGATTATTCTTGATGTTCCTACCCAAATTTTTGTAAATGTATACTAAATTCCATGACTAATGTAAAAATTGTTTCCTCAAGCAGTAGCATATGTGTCTTGGAAAATCTCATCAAACCCAAATCAAAACTGAAAACTAAAATTTGGACCAAGAAACAACCTTTGTGCTAACACTATGTAGAGGAAGGTAAATATATTTGTGCAGTTGGAGAATTCAAATATATCAAGCAATTAACATTCATAGTATACTAAAGGTGGAGCATAAACTTTGAACAGAAGACTTTATATAAAAGCTGTGCTGACTGGTAAATTCTTAATTTGTGGAAATCAAGAAATGCATTAATAAAAAGGTTCAAAGATTTTAAATCCCCCATATCTTTCAGGTACCTTTAACACCCACCTAATGCTTCCAGTGAAATGCAAATCTATCTGGAGGAATTAGAGATGGTGGGATTCATATCTTTAAGAAGGTATACAAAATTTCTATTATGGTAATCATTACAAATAAAATTGTTTCTGCACTATAGGCTTGAAAATGAACCTGGACTTTCTTGATGAAGTGGTACTAGATAACAGAATTGCTTTATATATTATATAATATATATAGATTATATATATTGCTTTTCAGAACAAGGCAACATCTGTGTGCTGGCTAAACCTCCTGTTAAAACCAGATAAATGAGAGTTCCTTCCATAAAATTCAAGAACAAGCCAACTGGTTATCCAAAATGTGACAACATGCACCATAGGATCTTTTCACACAGCTTGGGTTTGGCAAAAGGAAGAGTACTTTGTAAATATTAGTTATGCTGTTTCTAGCTCTGTTTCTAATCAGTACAGTTGTCAAATTATTTATAAACATGTTCTAAAATGCTGTTGCATACTTACTATCTCATCAAACATCAGATGATCCTAAACAAAAAAGATTCTAAAGCAACTCTAATGAACACAATTTCTGAGAGATTGGCACCTATGATAGAGTGTGGTAATGGCCCCAATTCTTCTTGCCTCTCTCTGTCCTTAGCTTCTTCCATGTGCCCTCTCTCTTTGAGCCATGGGCTCATAGGAGAAGCGTAAAGCTGAGAATATAATAGGAACATGAGAAAAACTCTGCTCACAGCCCCAATCTATGCACAAGGTAAAACTAGAGGATTTTGAAGCCAGGGGTGCACTGAGAGTAACCATAGCAACAAGATAACCCAAACCCAGCTCAACTACTGCTTATCTTGACTAAACTTCCCACCCTAAAATCTAGTAGAAGATGTTCCCATGCCCATCTCAGTGCAAAATACCACTTACTTCAGCCTTTACTGAGCAACACACCACATCTGGCTTTCAACCAGAGATTACAAGATATATAAAAAGGCAGGAAAGAGCAAACTCTTTTCAGGACACAGAACAATGAACAGAAGCAGATTTAGATATGACTAGAGGTTGGGAGTACAGACAGGAAATTTTAAATGACTACCATTAATATGTTAAAGATTTACAGAAAAGTTGACAATATGCATGAAGAGAGGAGAAATTTCAGCAACAAAATAAAAACTATAAGGCAGAATCAAATGGAATGCCAGAATAAAGTAAACTTGGTCAAAACAAATGATGAATGCCTGAATGGACTCATTAAGACTTGACATCGCAGAGGAAAGGATCAGTCAACTGGAAGAGAGGTCAATAGAAATTACCCAAACCAAAACACAAACAAACAAACAAACAAAAAATGAAAAGAGGAGAATCCAAAAGCTGTGAGACAATATCAAACAGTCTAATATTGTACAATATGAATCTCAGAAGGAGAAGAGAGTGAGAAAGGGACAGAAAAAATATTTGAAGGGATAGTGGCTGAGATTTTTTACAGAAATAGTGAAAGAAATGAACCATAGACTCAAGAGGCTTGGTGAATACTAATCAAGATAAATACTGCCCTACCTCAAAGCTATCCACCTAAACACATCACATTCAAATAGCCAAATTCAAAAAGAGTGAGAGAGGGAGAAAGAGAGAATCTTGGAGGCCAGAAGGAAAAAAAAATACACAAGATAGGAAAATAAGTAAGAATTACAGTAGATTCTCATCAGAAACTATGCAGGCCAAAAGACAATGGAACATTTTTAAAGTGCAGAAAGAACAGAACTCTCACCTCTGAATGCTATGCCCAATGAAAATATCTTGCAAAAATTAAGAAGAAATAGACTTTTACTGACAAACAAAAACTGAGGGAATTCATTACTAGCACATCTACATTATAAGAAATATTAAAGGAAGTTTTTAAGGTAGAAGAATTCTGATAGCAAATAGAAACTTGGATCAATACAAAAAATGGAAAGATGCTGAACATTATTTGTCACTGGAGAAAATCAAACAACCAAATACCACTACACACCTATTAGAATGGCTAAAATTTTAAGAATCGGACAATACCAACAGTGAGGATGTAGAGCAACAATTACTCTCATATATTGCTGGTGGGAAAGAAAAATGGTGCAATCATTTGTGGAAAGAGTTTGTCCGTTTCTTATAAACACATACTAAATGACCCAATAATCTTACTCATAGATATCACCCAAATGAAATGAAAACTTATCTTATTACAAAAATCTGTATGCAAATGATTAAAGCTGCTTTATTCATAATCACCAAATACTAGACATATCCTAATTGTCCAAGAACTAGGGTGAATTGAGAACCACATTGTGGCACATCAATACACTGGAATACAACTCAGCAATCAAAAGGAATGAACTACTGGGGCGCCTGGGTGGCTCAGACGATTAAGCGTCTGCCTTCAGCTCAGGTCATGATCTCAGGTCCTGGGATTGAGCCCCACATCAGGCTCCTTGTTGGGTGGGGAGCCTGCTTCTCCCACTCCCCCTGCCTGCTGCTTCCCCTGCTTGTACACTCTCTCTCTCTGTCAAAAATAATTTAAAAATCTTAAAAAAAAAAAAAAAAAAGGAATGAACTACTGATACACACACACAACAGGGATGAATCTCAGATGACTTAAGCTATATGCAAGAAGCCAGATTCAAAAGGCATATGACATGCTAGAACAGGCAAAATTAAAGGGAAATAAAATAAGTCTTAGGTTGCAATGGCTTGGAATT